CGAGAAAGAGACAGAGAGAGGCAGAGAGGAACACCTTCGATAGGATCTGGTCACGCTGCAGTCTCTTTCCCCGGTCTTCCAGCCCTTCTGCCCTTGGGCACTCATAGGTGCCCAGTGTGTTTCAGGGCAGCTGGGCCAGGCCCAGCACTGCAGCCGCCACGTGGCATCCAGCTTCTCCTGAGCAGTGCATTATTGCTGCACTGTGGAGCTGGCCTGGAAATGCATTTAAATCATTTGCCAGAAGGCACATGCAATCACCAGAGAGAAAGTGAAGAAGTACCCCCATGGGATGTGGTCACCCCACAATCCCTTCTCCATCTCTCTGTCCTTTCAGGATTTGGGGCATGCACGCATACTTGCCTGGCGTGATTTTCAAACTGCAGGGTCAGGGACTCAAACCACATTATCTGCCAGGATCCAGGTGCCTGGTCCACATCCACTGGCTGGCCCCTGTGCGCCTTCTCTCGGTTCTCCCCAGCTGTGTACACAGCAGTCAGAGTGGACCTTTATGAACCAGATCATGTCACTCTGTGTAGGCCCCTCCACGTGACAACTCTCCGTGAACCTCGGACTCTGCCAAGCCCTCATGCCCCCACACACTCGCCTACCGCTCGGCCTCCTCACTGCGCCAGCCTCACCAGCTGCAGTTATCCCCAGCCTCAGAGCTCACCCCACTTCCAGTTCACTGGCCACTCTATTGGGTCATCGGGAAAGTCATGACACTTTTGCATAGGAAAACGTGTCATCTGGGGAGGGACTAAGTGTGACCATCCCCCATGGGGGTGCTTCCCACTTTCTCTGGAGAGAGAGTGCATGAGCTTCACTGCAGCTTAAAAAAAAAAAAAAAAAGGACTCACTTGAAGTATGGAGGAGCTTGTTATAAAGAACTCTAGCTTTTGGGGGCCAGAAGGCAGTGTGGTGGTTAGGGCCTGAACTCCTACATGGCCAACTGCAGCTTGAGTCCTGGACCCGGCTGCTTGAAAATCACACCAGGTATGTGTGCATGTCTGTCCAAAATCCAGACGGTAGAATGGAAGAGGGGGAACGTGGTGTGGCCATTTCCCAACGGGTGACATCTTTCTCTCTCGCTCCAGCCAGACCACGGGCCCAATGGGGAAAACAAACACAAACAACTCTGGCTTTTAAGTGCTGGATGGGGTGTTCGAGACTCAAATAGCAAACATGTCAGCGCCCAGTCTTCCACAGTTCCCAGGCATCAAGGCACCTTCCCCTGAGCCAGCGCTGCAGCGGGGTTTTAGGAAACTCCTCCCCGGAACATCTGCACTGGCCCTGCTCTTAATTCCCCAGTGCACTCCTACCTGCTCGTTCTCTCTCCTTTCTACAGCTAGCGAGGCAGGGAGAACTGAGGATTCTACCTCTGGTCAAAGTTCCTCCCCGCAGACACACGTTCCCATGAAAACTAAACCGAGCCAGTTTCTGGGTGAGCGGATGCACACGAACACGTCACCAGCTCTTCCTGCCTCTCTACCCCAGTCTTTCAGGAGCTGGCCTGTGAGCTGCTGTCCTGTCGGCAGATACTGTCATTACCCATCTCAGTGTGAGAATGAGCCCCTCCCTTGGAACTCTCAGCTGCAAGACAGGGAATTCTTTCAGAGGGCAGGAAGTGGCTGAGAACTTCTCCACCCAGCGATACTTCCACGATACTTCCACGGCCCTGGTGTGCTTTAGCCCAGCAAGATGCGAAAAGGAGCAGCAGGGGGACGAGCTTCCACCTGTTCACCTGTTCGTGCTGGCTTTTCCCAAACAAGGCTGGCCACTGGCTCCTGAGGGTCAGGGGCGGGGCTGAGGTGGGAACAGGAAATGCCACCTCTAACCCAAACTACCATTCAGCTTTCTGGCTGTGTGGGAAAACAGGGTGTGTTCTCCTTCTTCCTTCCTGACTAAAGCCTGTGACTTATCAGGGGACAGAAACGTCCACACAGGGTGACATTTCCCAGCCTCCCCTAGAGCTAGTGACCTGGTTCGGGCCTACGTACGTGAAAGCGATATGATTTCCAGGGTGCTAACGTTGCCCCTGCCCTCTTTGCTTCTTGCTGCTGGGAATTTCAAAGCCATGGCTGATGGTCAAGCAGCTACTGTGGCCCGGGAGGCCACCTTGAGAAAGGAGGTGTGTTGTGTCCAGGCGGGAGCCTCCACACCAGTCTGGGACAGCCTACCTTTAGCAAAGGTTTCTGAGAGACATGCACTTCTTTTTTCTTTTTTTCAGAGAGATTTTTTGCTATAGGGCAGGTGCTCTCGCTGGAGAGACAGATAGAAAGCAAATCACCCTCTAGGGGTGACAGCCACACTGCAATCCTTTCTCCTCCATTCTCCTCTTGGGATTTTGGGCACATACGCACACATTCCTAGCCTGAGTTTAAGCTGCCGGGTCTGAGACTTGAACCGTGGTCCACTACATGGGAGTCCAGTGATGTATCCATGACGCCATCTCCTGGTCCCAGAGACACACACTTATTATTTAAGCAACTGCTGGTTGGGTTTCTGTTAAATGAAGTAAGACCCAGCCTTGGCTGACGGACCCCGATAATGCTTGGCAGTCCTATAACATCGACTTCCCATCCTCTAAGCCTGGCCCATCAGTTACCTAACTCAAACCTTCTGACCACAGTGTAAGTTGTAGCTTGTGCCATGTCAGAAGAAAAAACCAGAGCTTAAACCACCTGCCCCATGCGCACGACCACCCACTCTGACTGACAGTGGCAAGCACTGGAAGCCAGGCTGCCATACCCCTAAGATTTTAAAAGAATGGTGGAAAGAGGTGACAAATTTCTTTTTAAAAGATCTTGATCAGTTAGGTGGTGATTAATTTTTAAAAGCCAGCACTTAAGAGGTTGGCCCCATAGTCTAGTGTGGTTAAGGGAGTTGTATCCCACATGGCTGACCATGGTTCAAATCCCAGCTCTGGTGACTTGAAAACCACACTTTGTGTGTGTGCATACCCACACCAGGTCCCAACAGGATGAAGTAAAAGAGAAGGGATTTTGGTGTGACCAAGCCCCATTGTTGCCATCGGAGGGTGCTTTCTCCCTCCCTGACCCGTCTCTGGCGAGTGCACGCAATTAAAAAAAAAAAAAAAGCAAGCATTTAAATACACTTCATCTCTTCTGTCAAAAGATCTCCTATCAAGAGGGCTGCAGAGTCATTGACTTTAAAAGCATCCTTCAAGCCGCCTCCAGAATACCACCGCTACATGAAAATGGATTACAACTCATTGTATTGTTATAACATACATTCAAAGAGCTGAATTCTCAAACAGGTGAAGATGCATTTTGAATAAGCAATTAGTAAAATGAAGTGTTATTGTTTTAAAAGCATAACAAGAGTCAATGAAGTCTTTAAGAGGAAAAAGCAGAGGTAGGACTTTTTTCCAGTACAATGTGAGTAAAATTAAATCAGGTGGATTGATTCAACATAGAAAAGTTTTAATGAGACAAAAGTCAAGCAAGCATATCAACTCCTTAAAAAACAAAGAAAATCTAAAAGTTGAATTACAAAAACACTGTACGAAAACGGCATTTCAACAGTTTCAAACACATGTACACGATTCCACCCCCCAAAAAAAAACCAGAAAGAAAACGTCAGGAACGAAACACCTTGTCCCCTTTTCCTAGGCTGCTTCTTGTGTTTTAATAAAAAGAAAGAAACCTGTAACACTGAACGGGCAACAGCTTATTCTTGAGAACACACAGGTGGCGAGATATCTACAGGCTTGCTGGGGAACGCGAATTGGGGATCGTGCTAGGCGGCACCTGCTGACCACCTCCTCGCTGAGTGCCGGCGGGACAGGAGGGGGCACAGCTGTCTGGCAGCTGTCTGGGAGCCACCCGTTGTCCAGTGGGTAGCTACTGGGAGCCAGCCTTTGAAAAGCGGGCTGCTCCTCTGTGAGAATGACTCCACACCATGGCTCTCCTGGGATCCTGTGCGTTCTTGAACATGCGCACATTCCAAGGCAATCTTAAGTGTCCTTTGTAGTCACGAGAACGAGCCTCTTTGGGGCAGGGTACAGCCTTTCCTGGTCACAAAACAGTGCTAACAAAGCGGCACAAAAATGTTCGCAGGAAGAAGATGGGACAGAGAGCATCTGGCAGAAGGCAGACACAAACTCCCAGAACCGGAACGGGGGTCCTTCTGCCGCAGACACCGAGTTCGCGCTTGGATCTGGCAGGCAAGGAGTCTGAGAGAAGTGGCAGAAACAGCAAATGAGAACAGGAAGACAGAAGAGCGGGCGCGCTGGCTAGGTTTACAGAACAGTAATGGGCCTCATCCTAAAAACTGCCGGTATTGCTGGGTGAGCTTCAGCAAGTGTTCGCACAGGACATTGGAAAGGCTTCTGTTGCTGTTTTCCTTTGGGCTAATGAAAAAAGCAGGTAAGAGGACACTGAGAAGCTGGGGTGGACACCCCAGGCAGTTCCTGGCGCAGCTCTGGCTCACGGGTGCACTGGGACTAGGCCATGCTGCCATCCACCTGCCCTGGGCAGGGCCTAGGCCCAGGCTATACGATCGCGATGTCCAAGGGTCTCAGCTGCAGCCTTAAGCTTGTGCTCTTGAGCATCAAAAACAAAACCCCAGAGGTCAGAGTCAGGCCCCCTCTTCCCTTTTGCTGTTAAAAAAACAAAAACAGTAATGAAATAAGCACTTGAGTCAGGGGGAGGAAGGAAGGGAAGCCTGTTCTTTCCCCACGCGCTCGCAGGTGGTGGCAGCCGAGTCTACACTGATGATGTTCCCACCAATCCACCTGCACTCCTCGGGGCTCCTGAAGACCGGGATTCCCTCGGTTTTCACTTGCAACCAGCTTTGGGCCTTTTTCAACACCTAATGAGGACTCCTCTTTCCC